GAATGTAATAAGAATGGGAACTCAGATATTCTCAGCAAGTTAGCAACTAGTTGCCACATCTGTTTCCAGTTAATCTTGGTTGACGATTTAATTTCTCAATTTTATTTAAAAAAATGAATCTTTATTACATCTAAAGACATGATCAATAGGCAATAATTGTTTGTGATAATCAAATTAAGTATTCATTTCACCATATTTTAAAGTAAAAACCTTTGTCAGCTCCTTGCAATAAGGACATGCTAATTTACCAATTTTAGTTCATCTAGATAACATACCATTTGCAAGAATTATCTACATTAATACTTCTTTCATAATATAGTTTTTTTTTTTAAGATTTCATATATGAGCACACTATCATTCCATGGAATTTTTAACTCAGTCAAAAGTTGCAGGAATATGCCAATTTTAAAAAACATGGGAGTTGTAGGGCATAATTCTGGTGGCAAGTTTTAATGAGTAACAATGATCATCTGACAGGAATACAAACTAACTGCTTGATTATATGGTGTAAAATCATGGGTGCAATAACGTAATCTGATATTTCATGCATCAGATGTAAAATCTAAAGAAGTTTGATCAAAATGGCTTTATTTGCTTCACATCAGGAGAGTGACATAATATCTACTTCACATTAACGATATTTATGCATTCTTAGTTTATGTATTAATGGCAAGTAATGCATTGTCTTTTGAGGAATTTCTTGGTAATTCTAATGTGTTATGTATCGATTTAGGTCATAAAATTTACAATATTTGTAAATTAATATCTTTGTTGTAGAAAATCATGCACTGGTTCATGCAACAGTCAATTTTTATTGCATCTAAAACCAAATTTGTTGTTTTGTTGTAATTATCAGGAACCAAATTCTTAGCTAGAGTAGTCTCCATTATTAGTTCACAAAATTGATTAAAAGCAGTCTAAGGCACATTATACTCAGATTTAATATTGAGCATTCTAACAATTACGGATATCTCTGTATGGCTACTACAATCGGCCTAAATAGGTTGCTATGCAGCACTTAATTAATCATAAAACTTTTGAGCTTTGCTATTTGGTTGCTCCTATATTTCATTAGTTGGAAAATCTTCATCATTAGTCTAATCTCTATATTTCAAAATTTTGCAGGCCTAGACCCATATATTCAATTTTATTCCTTTGATCACTTGGTGTATTGGTAAAACTAATTGATGCCTTTCCATGTTGTGTATTTGTATGGTGTTTATGATCATACTTGTTGTGAGATGTCCAATACTAATAATTGGGTAAAAAACTCATAAATATTAATTAATACATAGATCATTAATTAACTATAAAATTTAATTCTTATGATTCAAACATAGACATCTAATTTTACATTTCTAAAAAATTTGTTTCTAGCATACAAAGCCTATAAAGGACTCGACTCCATATAGAAATTCATATGTTAATCTCTTATTCAAGGATATAATCTATTGTTTATAAAAATTGTGATATATTATGATATCCATTTTATTTTTGTAATTAAAGCAAAATTTTGATAAATCTAGTTTGCTCAGGTAGTCGCAATCACCCCATCTTTAATAAATTTATGAAGACTCATTCCCTCCATCAAAAACTAACATGTGGAGTTATGCTTTCTCAATTCGCTACAAATATATGAAGTCATAGTCGCTCTATCATCTATCGCAAAACTATAGAATCACTGTTGCTTCATCTAAAACAAACCTATGAGGTCTTAATCACTCTATCTATCACAAACCTATGGGATCACAATTGCTCCAACTATCACAAACTTATAAAATCACAGTCGACCCCTTTACCACAAACATATGTAATCACAACAATCACTCAAACTATCACAAACCTGTGAACTCACAGTCGCTCCATCCAAATAAGAAATAAATTAAGAGTGATGAAAATGTATGCTTTAAATTTGTTCTCTTGAGCTTCTATTAATGCCATCACAATGATCATATCTGTAAATTATCAAAAAATTACATTTATCAAATTTCTAGACCAATTCATTAGCCGTAATAAATGTTAATTGTTTAATTTATGCCTTTAATGTTTGCTTGAGGCAGCCAGTGTGGGGACCTTGGTTACGCAAGACGACGGGTGAGAAAAACTAAGTGTATAAGTGAGTTAAGCTGACTTGTGAGCCGGCTAGAGCTTGACTTGATAATAGTTTGTGAGCCGAACTTAATGAGCTAATGAGCCAAGCGTGAGCCAGCCCTAAACCGGCTTGTTAGCTCACGAGCTAGCTCATTTTAAAAATATTAATTTAAAATGTACTTTCAATGTATTAGCATCCAAGATTTTAAGTATAAAATTATTTAAATTTAGTGATTCACTTTTTTATATTAAGTGATTTTTTTTTTTCTAATTTCTCATTTTTTGTCATTTTATTATAATAATTTTTTGATTCATAATTAATTTCTCTCTTTCATAATAAACAATCCGGCTCATGAGCCGGTTTGAACTTTTAGAATAAAGCTCGAGCTTGAACTCGAACTCAATTAATTAATCAAGCTCAAGTTAGTGGTGAGAGGGTGAAAGAGAGATGAAGAGTAGGGCAATGGTAGGAGTTGAGAGAAAGAGAGAGGGAGACGGGTTGATGAGGGCAAAGAGGTGATGAGCATAGAGAAAGAGGGAGAAGGGTAGTGATTGGAGCTAAGAGAAAGAGAGGGAGAAAAGCGGCGTCAGAGGGGATGGTGAAGGTGTTGGAGAGAGTGAGATTGAGGTGGGAGAGGGGGCAATGGGGGGAGCAAGGAGAGAGCAGGAGAGCGGGTAGTGGAGAGAGAAAGGAGAAAGGAGAGAGGGAGAGGGGGTGTTGGAATGACTAGGTGTGAGAGAGAGAGAGGGAGGGAAGGAAAGGGGGGGATCGGGTTGCGTCCTAATGGCAACCTATCAATGGATTACTGGCGATTTTTCATTATAATTGTTTATGATGAAAATTGGTAGTAAATTTTTGAATTCTATTACACACATTGTTGGTGGATTTTCTATTAGTATGATCAGCGTTAATCTTGCTATGGAAAATTTCCATCACAATATTTCATTTGTAATATCTGGTGTTCTTGTAGTGCTCCATATAGATAACTATGCTTCGAGCTCGCTCTAACCTTTGCTCTACGGGATCGTTAGAGGCACACAATGAACTTGTGGTTGAAACCTTGGAAACATTTTGTTCAACGACTAATCTCCATGTAGATAACTATGCTTCAATAATAATTATGGATATTGGCTTTCACATTCGCGATCCATGCGAGAAGCTTCCAATTTACAATAGGAGTGTCTTACATGCTTATAAATGCATTTTCACATCAGCATAATGTAAGATGTGATTACTATATGAGTCGAAGAGATTGGAGGTAGAAGACATGAGTTTAGAGCACTCTCTTCTACTTAGATTGAGTGGACAATAAGTGGAACATCATGAGATTTGTTTATGGAGTTGATGGTATGTAGTTTGAAGAGTGCTGGTGTGTTATTGGAGGAGTTGGGTTACTTAGAGAGGTTTAGGAGGACTAAATGTGGCATTAATTCAACTGATCACATTTAATGTGAGGCAAATTCCTATAGAAATATAGCAAAAACCAGCTAAAAACTACAAGAAAACTGGTGGATTGCCATGGTTCAACCACTGGTTATGATCCAGCTATCATCGGGTTGTATAGAGCATGATTGGCTGTCGATCGCTAACACAACAGGGCCCATCATGCTGCACTTGGCCTACTAACGAGCAGGCAAGTTTAGAGGCATAAGACTTTTCTAAAAAATCTATTTTAATTGTCATTTGAAGCACTGGTTTATGCCATAAGAGACCCTTTTCTCAAGCTGGTGATATGGGTGTCACCATGGGCACTCAAAATGTGGCAAGTATGGTGATTACAAAATGTGATATCATTTGAGTGTAATGATGGGTTGACAATAATTTGATCAAAGGTTGATCGAGGTGAATTAGAGATGACCGGGGCTATCATGTTTGGCCAAATTGACTACATTTGATTGGGTCCAATCATGGCCAACGAAAAATGATCAGAACTACTCATGTTGAAATTGATTTGCCAGTTCATTGATAGGTTGGGCAAGGTTGACAAATCACTAATCAGGTTTTATTTGAGCCAACCAATTGTCTGCTGGGCTATAGCAAGGTTGTTCGGGTAGACATTGTGCTAATTGGTGTTTGATTGATTTGATTTATAGTTGTTTGACCTTGGCTGGGTTGATTTTGAGCTTATTAGTGTTTGATTAGGTTAACTGGCATTGGTTGAGTTGAATTTGAGTCAACCTGTGTTTGATTGAGTAGGATTTAGGTTGATCGATATTTGATGGGGTGTACTGAATTGATCAGTCTCGATCCAATTGATTTATCGAGCTGTTTTCCTGATTTTAGTAGTGAAATAATCCTTGATGCATTTTGGGATCTTCTCTATTACTGTCTCACCTAGGGGTATCGACATGGACCCCCTTTCGGTAAAACAACCCTAGTTAAACTCATACCTGTCAAACTAAATCCTATTTAAGATATTTTTTTGCAAGTGAGAAGCAGTTACAAAAAAATAGCAGACACCCCACTGCTCTCAGAATGGAAGTGGATAATGATTTGCTGTGTGTAGTGCGTCGCTGGTAATCTAGAAAACCCCTTTGTTTAATTGCAAATGAACTCAGCATATGTTATCTAACATGCCAAAACTATTGATAGCTCCCAAAGCCAAGTATTTTTGCTACCTCTTCTTGGTAGATTGCTCTGCAATCACCAAAGGCATGCTTAATTTATACAAAAACAATTGAGTTTTTTAAAAAATGTATTTTAGCATAGCAGATTTAGTATCTATTTTAGCTATTAATTCTGTGAACTTTTTTTTTTTTTTTTTTTTTTAATTCAGAAAACGTAATCATCTCATGGCTTTTCCAGGTAAGGGGACCAGCTTGCGCACAAACATTTGTAGATTACCTATCCAAGATGAATGAGGATCCCGGGATTAAGGAGGTGATGGTTTTGGAGCACGGTTTTAATGGCTGGCAAGCTTCTGGAAGATTAGTCTGCAACTGCACTGATGTCCCCTGCAAGTCTGAAAGTGCATAGCTAACTTGCTTTTATTTACAACTGAAACTACTTAATTTTAACTACAAGCTTTCATCATTATTTTGGAGCTATGTTATATTACATACTAATAATGATCAATTTCGGTTCCGATCGTCGTGCTTAAGATTGAGTGCCGGCATTGATGTGAGTACTACCATTAAATTCTCTCAAAATGTCTCATTATGATAATCAAATGATCAGCCATGAGGATCTATCAACTTGTTGAATGAGGAGTTTGAATTCCTGGAATCTGAATATGTAGTTTTGACACAGAACAACATAATGATATTGCAATTGCTTAATATTTTTATTAATTTTATTTTATGTAGATTAAGGGCATGTTTTATCAGAAATAACTTCTAATCAATGTTGATGGATAGGTAAATAATGGTTCTTTGTTTCGTAAAATTGGGGGTGTGCTGCTTGATCTTATCATGAAGATGGTATTAGATTGGACTTGTTTTTGTAAGGTTATGCCTTTATATTTCATGAAACTACCATACTAAATGATTTTATTTAGTTTATTATTTGATAAACTTGCTATATCATATTCCCGACAGTGAAGAGAATTCTAATACCATTGTTGAAGTAGAAAACTTCTCAAAGAAATAAAGTGGTGACTAACCATTGCAAGGGTTTAGCTTTAGCCTCAAAGAAAATATATTGGTCTCAAAAGGATGAACGAACTTTGTTGGAAGCATACTCCTAATTGCAGCTCTCACCAGTCTTCGCTATCGCTTGTGATAAATTTGTTTAGCATGGCTTCTACATCCCAAAATTTTCCACCAAATCTTTGGATAGAATAATTAAAAGCAAAGGACATGCTTCTAAAGTGGAACATTGTTATATATGATAAATGTGGATTTTGTGAATGTAATAGTTAAAAAGTCATGATTATATTTATCTTAAATACAATATCTTAATGGTCATTATTTTGAATATCCTTGTGTTGCAATCTTACTCATTGCACAGCTCTCAACCTTCATGATGCTAATTATTTTAACTTGGCTCATATAAGATGGAAGAATGAAATTAAAAAGTTCAGATTTTGCTAGTACTCATCGTATAAGATGCCTCTTTCTAAGGTACATTTTTGGGTAGTCATCATTGACGCTTACCAATTATCAGCTCTATTAATCATTATATAAAGACTTCTCATTTTTCCAAGTTAAAATAGCATTCAACTTTTTGGCAGTAACACGGCTAATGCTTAGTAATTGTGGACACTTTTATTATGTCGAGTAGACTCCAATTGAGTTAAATCCGACCCGATCGGCTTCGATTGAATTAAATCAACTCATTTGACCCTTCGGATCCAATTTGACTCAAATTGACATCTATTCAAGTTTAATTTCCTCAAATTAATTCGATCGAGCCGATTTGAACTTAAATTGATTCAAATTGAGTTAGATAAATTCAAACATGATCAACCCAATTGACTCAAATCAGGTCCATTTTGATTTTTCAAATAAAATTCTGCATACAACGGCTCCGGTCTTTCATGATTTCTTTCCTTTTGCTTGATTCTTTTCGTCAAATCCCATAGCAGACGATCGAGACCGGTAAATTTTCACAAAACCACGAAATTGGGGGCAAATTATTGGGTCAGGTGACCGAACCTATCTCCGCGTTTGGACGCCAATAGAAAGCAGACACCTGGCTGCGATTTTTTTTATATAATATCTTTGCTTTATGTCTTATCAGCTCGATCGACCCGGCCTAGTCCACTTTATTTTCATTTTGAACGTTTGCCGTCCTATTTTTGAAACCCGCAAAAGATCTAAATATTTATGGCTTTAGAAGAAAAAACGAGCTAGAAAATTGCAGAAAAGAGATGGAATGCTCAGCGACCTCAGTGAAGAGTGAGGTGGAAGAGGAAGTGCATGAATAGAAAAGGATGCATGAATCGGAAGGGGTGGTGCATGCAGTGGCGGATCCATGGTTGGCTGAGGGTGGGCACTAAAAAAAAAATTATTATAGAGAAGGGGCATTTTAGACATTCTATCCCCCCTAAAAAAAACTGCCCTAAATCTTCCGATCGTGAGCCATTTTGCCCCATTCAGTTCGCGATTTCCTCACGCCGTCACCCGTGCTCCAGTCCTGTTCATGAAGAGTTCGCAGCCTCGCAGAGTCGCAGTCGCAGGACGAGCGGACCGGCGGCGGCGGATCCCTCTTGTTCACAGCCTGCAGCCTTCATCTTCGTGTCTACGTGAAGAGCCGAAGAGGTTGCCGGTTCGCCGCTGCCCTCTCTTTCCAGTTCCCGATTTGCAGCCTTCTTCACTATTTTGAAGGTAAGTTTTGATTGTTTGGCTTCTCATTACTACTCCACAATCTCCACTTGCTCTATTTTTTGCTTCCATTTTTCCTTATCTTGTTATCTGCATCTTGAAAAAATTTAGGGAACAATAATTTGGTCACTGCATGATTGATTTGTCAGCCACCTTCACCCTTTTATTGTTAATTTAAATGCATTTGAGAAATGAGAATATAACTCTGTTTCTTATCAGGTTGCTATTCATCTTCAGATTTTATTTTTTTACTGTTTCTAAGCACGAATGATTAACATAATACTGAAATTCTGAAAATATGCAGTGACAACCTTTCCCTTCACTCATAATTCCTGTTTCCCCTTTGTTGTTTCTAACCGAGAATTCCTAGTTGGCAGAAATGTGGAAATGTAGTGTTTCTAAGTTCTAACTACTCTTTATATTACTCAAATGAATTAACTCAATTAATTAGGTTTAACTCAACTAAATGAATTAATTCAGTACCAATAAGGTAATTGGATGAGACAATTAGATTTTATATATATGCTTTGCTCACACAGATTTTGAGTTATCTAAACCTTTGTTTTTGTCATTTGTATTGAGACATAGTCCTATTGTTAGCTTTTCAAATAAAAGATTATGCTCTTGCAACACATAAAATAATCTCGAATTAATGTCCATTGGTCTTGTATACTTTGTTAACTGATTTGAAAATTTTTTAATTGGATAGATCATTGTTAGGCTTTTGAGAAATGGAAAGATTTTTGAAGCAAAAAGAACGTGTCGAGATTGATATTGACAATCTACCTGCTGATCCTGGTCTTCGACCATCCATCTGGAGTTATGATGTAAATGATCGTGATAGAATTCGTACAGCTTATTTGTTGAAGGGACCACATCAACAAAAAAATCATCAATTCCCTCAAACAAGGATAGGAAATATTGCACGTAGATTTAACTCAAAATGGTTTGAAGACTTTCCTGATTGGATTGAATATAGTATACAGAAAGATGCAGTATTTTGTCTTTATTGCTACTTGTTTAAGCCTCAAGAGCAAGTTAATACTAGCCGAGGCAGTGGAGACATATTTGTTGGTGAGGGTTTTAAGAACTGGAAGCATAAAGAGAAGCTGTTGAGTCATGTTGGAGATCACAACAGTGCACACAATAAGGCAAGACAGAAATGTGAGTCTTTAATGAAGCATCAAGAGAAGAGCATTCCTGATTTATGGTCGAGCAAGGAAGACAAGAATAAAAAGGAATATCGCATCATGTTAACTGTAGCTGTTGATTGTGTACGATTCCTCATTCGCCAAGGGCTATCTTTTTCGTGGGCATGATGAGTCATCTAGCTCGAATAATCAAGGAAATTTCATAGAATTATTTCAATTTCTTGCAGATCATAATGAAGAGATAAAAAAGGTGACATTTGAAAATGCAAGTGCAAAGTTAAAGTTGATTGCACCAAAAGTACAAAAAGAGATCTGTAGTGCTATGGCTGCTGAGACCTTGGGTGTAATCTTGAAAGATATGGATGATTCTTACTTCACTATTCTAGTTGATGAGTCTCGCGATGTTTCTATGAAAGAACAATTAGCTATTGCAGTAAGATATGTAGACAAATTGGGCCAAGTAATTGAGAGATTCATTGGTATTTGTCATGTATCTTCAATAAATGCATTAGCACTCAAGGCATCAATTGAAGAGGTTCTTGCAAAACATTCATTAAGCATATACAGAATACGTGGACAAGGCTATGATGGAGCATCTAATATGAGGGGTGAGTTTAATGGTTTGAAAGCATTAATTCTGAAAGATAATCCTCAGGCATTCTATATTCATTGTTTTTCTCATTAGCTTCAATCGAGTTGATTTATTCTACACTGTTGTTGATATGCAGCTTCTGGAACTTAATAAACATTTACCTGAATGTAGTACCGAGTTACTTCTTTGTGTGACATGTCTAAATCCGAGTGATATGTTCACTGCTTATGATAAGATAAAATTAATTCGTCTTGCAGAGTTATATCCGACATATTTCTCTATGGTTGATCTTATGTCTCTTGATCATCAGCTATCTACTTACATTATTGATATGCGTACTAGTGATGAGTTTACATCTTTGACCAGTATAGAGGCTCTTGCAAAACAGCTTGTAAAGGCCAAAAAAATATTGTGTATCCACTGGTGTATAGACTTATTGTTTTGGCATTGACTTTACCAGTTGCTACTGCTACGGAGGAGAGAGCATTTTCTGCAATGAAGATTATTAAGCATCGACTGCGTAGCAAAATGGGTGATGCTTGGCTCAATAACTGTCTAGTGTCATATATTGAAAAAGAAGTATTTGATTCAATTCCAAATGAAGTCATTATGCAACATTATAAAAAAATGCAAAGTTTATAATTTTCTTTTTTATTTCATAAATTATAATGAAGTCCAATGTATTACTTAAAATTTTGCTAATAAAAATGGGAGTATTTACTTTTTTTATATATTGAGTTCCCCCCCCCCCCCAAAAAAAAAGGCTGGATTCGCCCCTGGGTGCATGAATCAGGAGCTAACTTAGCTGGAAATTCCTCTGGTTTCAACATATCGGTAAGTTTCAATCTCATGGCAAGTTGTATTATGGAAAAACGAGCTAGAAAGTTGTAAACAAAGCAGTGCTGACAGCCGTGTTTGACGTAGAAAAAGGACGTAGGTTTCAGCTCATTAGAGGCTTAGGATATTAGATGTTGAGATTTAGTTCCCATAAGTGTTTTTAGGAATATTTTTTGACGATCTTGAAAAAGTAAAAAAATCTTTAATGTTGTTGTTTTTAGGATTGGTAAACAAAATATGATAAACAAATCCTGAGCTTTACTTGCGCTTTACTTGCGTTTTACTTAAATTATTTGTTTTTATCATTTCAGGCTGTTTATAAAGATGAGAAAGAAGTATATGATTTTTTTGGTACTTATGCCCATGATAACGGCTTTAGCGTCCGGAAGGATCATCACAGCTTTTGGCCAAATTCTAGGAAGATAAAATCTAAGGACCTTGTCTGTTCAAAAGCTGGTTTCAAGAAAAGTATTGATCTTAATTCAAAAAAGAGATTCATTAGACCAGATGTTAGAACTGGTTGTCCATACATGGTGAGATTTGCAGTAGATGAATATGGTTACTAGCATGTCAAAAGATTTATTGAATCCCATAATCATGAATTGGCTAGCCCAGTTGACCGACACCTTCTGAGATCATGTAGAAATGTTGTTGAGGAAAAAGCTTCTGTCCTAAAATCAATGACAGACGCAGGGATTAGAACCGTTGATGCATATGCCTACCTTGCAGAGGAAGTTAAAGGATGTGAGAATGTTGGTTTCTCTAAGAGGGATGCCTACAATTTTATTCAGAAGGAGAAAAGGGCAAGGATTGAAATTGGTGACACTAATTCTTTGATTCAATTATTTAAAGATCGACAAGTTGAGGACCACATGTTCGCATGGGATATAAAGTTTGATGAGCATGATAGATTGTTAAATTTTTTCTGGGTTGATGGTAGAAGCAGGATAGATTATGAATGTTTTGGAGATGTGTTAATTTTTTGATACTAACTGCAGGCTCAACAAGTATAATTTTGTTTGTGCACCATTTATTGGTGTTAATAGTCATTGGCAGAATATTTTGTTAGGGGTTACTTTTTTATCAGAAGAAGCAATTGAAAGTTTCTTTATCATTATGTATTTTAGTTTCTTTAATCATCTTCTCTTTTTTTATTGCTGGTATTGAATGATGTGCTTTGAAGAACTCTCAGTTGGTGGAGGCACATCTTGTTTGGCCGGTGGTGAGGTGGAGAAATTGTTTGGGGGGGGGGGGGGGGGTTGGAAGAATATCTTCTTTGGGTGGTTGTGGAAGAATATTTATTTGGGTGGTTCTAAAGGTTGAACAGCTGTAGTTTTGAGTTTTTTTCACTGATTGGATGCTGGAGTAAGATGTAGATATAGACGGGTTTTCAGGATTGTGATCACAATTCATTTGAAAGTTAATGAATTTGCACTTTAGGGAATCTAGATCTGCTTGATGTTTCTCCACAATATCTTCAAGTCGATCAACTCTAGCACCCAAATTCTGTTTAATTTTATTGAACATCTTCTAAAATGCTTCAAAAAAGTTTTTTTAAACAGACTCTAAATCTTGAGTTTTTTCAATAGGTGGTTGTTCAGTAGAAGGATGCGTAGAAGGTTGAGTTGGCGGCAGAGGTGAACTTTCAGGTGGTTCTTGATGAGGAGAATGAGGAGAGGGAGGAGGGTTGGTGTGAATTTTTTTCTTTAGGGGTGATTGAATTTTTTGTGGTTGATGCTCTGGTCGGGTTTTCAAGTTTTGTATAGCATTAATGCCAGCCCCGTATTTTTCTGCTTCTTCATTAGTAGCATTCTGAAGATCAAAGTAAATATGCAATATATATATATATAGGAGATTTTCTTTGGGAAGATCTTAGTAGTAATAAGATTCCTCCTTTATTTTATTTGTTATTAAAGGAGGATTGTGATAGACTATCTATCACTTAGTTTTTGTAATAGTTTTTATTTTTAAAATGCATTCTGCATTTTCTTCAAAAAAAAAAAAAAAACATTATGCACCATAAAGCATTGCAGATCTCACCACCATCTTATAGAATTTTCCCTTAAGTTTGAGGGTGACCTTTTTATCGCACAATAAGCATGATGCATTCCTCCACTTCAACCGTCCAACTTCAATTCTGCTAATAATATCCCCATCAATTTCACCATCACTCTGAATAATAAATCCAATATATCTAAAACGTGTACTCTTATTAATGATTTGATTGCCCAAAGTCACAATCCTCTCACAAGGTCTATTTCCACTAAAATTACACTCCATATATTCAATTTTAGATCTACTCAAGTGAAAACCTTTAGACTCTAAAGTTGACCTCCATAATTCAAGTTTACCTTCAACTCCTTCGCTGGTCTTATCAACAAGAAGAATATCATCAGCAAAAAGCATGAACCAAGGTACATCCTCTTGCAAATGTCTAGTGAGAACATCCATGACTAAAGAAAAAAATATGGACTTAAGGCTGATCCATGATATAATCCAACCAAAATTGGAAAATATTTGGTCAAACCACCTAGTGTTTGAACACAAGTAATAGCTCATGCATACATATCTTTAATGATTTGAATATAAGCATTATTAACTCTTTCTTTTCAAGAACTCTCCATAGCACTTCTCTTGGAAATTTATCATATGCTTTCTCTAAATCAATAAATATCATATGTAGATCCTCCTTATTCTCTCTATATTTCTCCATCAAACCTTTCAATAAATGTATAGCTTCCATAGTAGACCTACCTGGCATGAATCCAAATTGATTTTGAGAAACATTAGTATCTCGCCTCAACCTATGCTCCATAACTCGCTCCTATAGTTTTAAAGTATGACACATTAACTTAATTCCTCTATAATTTGCACACTCTTATGCATCGCCTTTATTCTTAAAAATAAAAATTAACACACTCATTCTCCACTGATCTGGCATCTTTTTAGTCTTCAAAATAGTATTAAAAAGTTTAGTAAGGCAAGAAATTCCTTCAAATCCTAAGTAAAAATTCATGTACTTCAACAAAATAGAGCACAACCTATATTGAAACAATGGTATAATCCCATATCACTACATACATGATATACCCCTAGGAAGAGGCATAACCCTTAGCATAAACTAGTAAATTCATTCCCTGGGGTTAGGTGTCATTTTTGTGGCATGCTAGGTTACATAGTCCGCACTTGCATAATTCACCGTATGACACATCTAGTGGGAGACTCAAATCAGTTGCACCGCAACATAACATGTATACACATAATTCATCAAAGCATAAGGTGGAACCCAAACTCACTTGGGTTCCCAAATTAAATATTTGATTAACTTTTTAGAAGTACTCTCATAAAAGAACCAGTGAGAGCATGTGGTACTTGGAAAGTTGATTCTCAAGTCACATGATTGGAGATCTGAAGCAGTTCATCACACTAGAGGCTAGGGCAGGAGGAAATGTTGCACTTGGAGATTATACCACTAGGAAAGTCGTTGGTTCAGGTATAATTCATAATCATTTGAATTGTATTGAATTTACTAATTTTCTTTGCTTGAAAACATTGATTGATGAATCCTAGCTATGGTATAAGAGACTATTCCATGAAAGAATAGGAGACTATGTCATGCAAGAAAAGTAACCCAAAAAGACCTAGTTTGAGGCATACCCAAACTAGAATTCTCTAAGAACCACCTTTATGATGCCTATCAACCATAAAAGAAAATCAAAACTTACTTTCACTCAATCAAGGATATCACCATCTGTAGACCCTTAAAAATCTTCCACATGGATATGCTTGTACTTGTTAGCACTACCAGCTTAGGTGAGAAAATATATGGATATGTGATTATTAATAATTACTCGAGATTTACTTGGACAAGGTTTTTATCACATAAAATCAATCATTCAAGGAATTTAAAAAATTCTCCACGTGGATTAAAAAAAATTGATTGTGAAATCCTAACTATCCATAGTGATCATGATGGAGAATTTAAAATTGATATGTTTGCATTATTCTGTAAGGAGCTAGGTATATAACATAATTTTTCCACCCCTAGAACCCCACGGTAGAATGGGATTGCGGAAAGGAAAAATAAAACCTTGATAGAAGTTGCTGGAGCTATGTTAGCTAAGTATTCACTTCCTAAGTATTTCTTAGACGGAAGTAGTGAACACTGCTTGCTATAATCTCTATAGGGTTAATGTCATATCAAAAATCAATAATATACCTTATGAGTTAAAGGAAAGACACCCAATCTCTCTCACCTTCGTGTCTTTGGATGTAAGGTGTTCATTCTAAAGAATAAAAAATCACCATTAGGAAATTTGATCCAAAATCTAATGAAGCGGTTTTCCTAGGATATTCAACTGTAGGTAAATCCTATAGAGTTTTCAATAAGAAGACATTAGCAGAAGAGGAGACCACCCATGTGG